TAGCTGCCCTTCAGGTCTGGAATTGAACCCACTCCTATGGCTTCCAGCCAAACAAAAGACAGGCATATGAGATGAACATTTACATTAGGTAGATACACTCCTTGGAGAGATCAATCATGGGAGAATAGGAGGGGTTGTGTATGCACAGGGAGACAGCATGGGGAACAGGAGCAGATGGAAGGGAAGGGCACAGGGAAGAGGTAATTATGGGAAGGAAGTGGAAAGAGAGCTGTTGCACTGTGGGAAATTGCATTCAATGTCATTAGACAGAATGTATGTGAACTGATGTATGGAAAATGAATTTTGCCTGTAAACTTACACTCAAATCCCAATAATAATTTTTTTAATGTGTAACCAATGAGATATGATTTCTGGTTGCACACGTTTGGTGTTGTCATATTTCTAATTCCCCAAAAAACTACACTTACCACCATCAGTTGATTCCAAGTCATAGTGACCCCATAGGACAGGGTAGAACTGACCCATAGGTTTTCCAAGGCTTTAAATCTTTACAGAAACAGCTTGCCTCGTCTTTCTCCCACAGAGCAGCTGGTAGATTCAATCTGCCAATCTTTTTGTTAGCTGCTCAATTCCTTAACCTCAGCATCACCAACCCTCATAGCAGAAAAGTTGGCACAAGTGTTGAGATTAGGCTGACATACCGAGAAGCCTCCATAGGGCTCTCTTGATGTCCCTGTTCCTCAGGCTGTAGACGAAGGGGTTCAACATGGAGGTGACCATGGTGTACATCACTGAGATTACCACACTCTTTCTGGAAGAAGATGGGACAGCTGAACTGAGGTACACACCAAGGCCTGTTCCATAAAATAAGCAAACGACTGACAGATGAGAACCACAGGTGGAAAAGGCTTTATACTTCCCACCCGAAGATGAGACTTTCAGAATGGAAGAAACAATTCGAGTGTAAGACAGAAGGATCCCTGAGACTGGAACAACACCAAAGATGGCACCAATACAATATATTAATATGATGTTTGTGGAGGTGTCAGAGCAGGCAAGTTTAAAGAGCTGAGGAGGGTCACAGAAGAAGCTAGGGATCTGCACATCTGTGCAGAAGGTAAGTTGTGACACCATTGAAATGTGCAGCAGGGAGTCTAAAAGGCTAAAGAAAAAAGATATTAAAACTAGTAAGCCACAGAGGCGGGGGTTCATAATGACTCTGTAGTTCAGGGGGTGACAGATAGCCACAAACCTGTCATAAGCCATTGCAGTGAGGAACATACAGTCCAGACACCCCAAGAGATAAAAAAAGGACACTTGTGTCAGACAGCCTACATAGGTGATGGATTTTTTCTGTGTCTGGATATTCACCAGTATCTTTGGGAGTGTAGTAGAGATGAAACCAATGTCAGTCAAGGACAGGTTAGAGAGAAAAAAGTACATGGGGGTGTGCAGGTAGGGGTCAGAGCTGACAGCCAGAATGATAAGCAGGTTCCCAAACACAGTGATCAGGTACATTGACAGGAACAGCCCAAAGAGTAAGGGTTGTAGTTCTCGATCCTCAGGAAGGCCCAGGAGGAGGAATTCTGAGACAGCTGTTAGATTCTGTGGCTCCATGTACCTGAGGCAGTTTTTGAAAAAAGAAAAAAAAAAGGACTGTTGGAACAAGAATCAGTAGTGTGTCTGTATTTTTTTAATTCAAGAAATTCACAGATAAAGCATATCAGTTCACAAGTGTTCACGCTTGAGGCCCTAGTACCCAATGCCTTCTGCAATGTTACTTGGTTGTTACCAACCCAACCACAGTACATTTCAGAATTTTTTCCTCATTGTTTTCTATGCTATTCACCAATTTCTGTACATATCCACTTTAGAAACACTGGGCTTAAGAATGTTAGAATGGCAAAGATATTTAAAAAAAAAAAATCCATAGAAAGAGCAAAATTTCAACCCCCTCTATGAGAGAAAAAAATGAAATAAGAACTATCTTTTTTTTTTTTTTCTAGAAAAAGGCTTGTGATCTATTTCTGAAAAATCAGTCATTGAAAAGCCATTCAACATGGTCCTAATCTGCTACTCAGGGTGTCACCATGAGTCAGAATCTACTCAATGCCAACTGGTTGCTCTTTATAAGAAGCCATCAAATATAATTTATTTTATCCAAGTATAGGACAATGAATTCCCTTGGTGTAGAATATTTATGAACAATCAATAAGGGATAGATCACAATACAAACAAACAACAATAACAAGAAAAATCATTGCTGTAAAGTTGATTCTTACTCATGGTGACACCATGTGTTATAGTGTATAACTGCTCCATAGGGTTTTCTTGGCTTTAA